AATAAAGGGAGGAAGGAATGAATTTATGAATGAATAAGGAAAGGAAGGAATGAATGAATGAATGAATTTATGAATGAATATGGAAAGGAAGGTAGGAAGGAAGGAAGGAAAAATTAAATTAAATAAACATCCAAAATAATACTTGATCTACATATAATTTGGCACTAGTTACTATAGAATACAAAGGCATCAAAGTTTTACTGAGCCGTTAAAATCTTCGAGTGGAAAGGTAAATTTTCACCATAATCACTGAGCCTGAGCCAAATTATTGTTTTAGTATCATTACACAGGTAATTATTTGAAAGAAATTAGATAGGTATATTTTTTATTTCTATGATGTATATTTATTTCATATTTTGAAAACAGTGCCACATCGACAAATGGACATGCTCAATCCTAAATTCTCCTAAGGTGATTAACAATACTGTAGTCCGAAGTTATCAACCAATCAGTGCACACAGTTTTCTATTATCATGTGGGTATATAAAAATAATATGGTAAGAAGAAATGAAGCCATATACATTAGCTAAACACCCGAAAAAGTGGGTGGGGCTAAGTTTGGAAATTATAAGAGACTAGTATTGGAAAGGGGGTAAAGTGTGGGGCGGGGCACAGCCCCCAGCTCCACCTCTTCTGCAGCCCCTGTTCAAGTGAGCCGTAAACCTTAGTTATTTATGTGCAAACTAGAGATTGATTGGCTGGTGACACAAAGGAGCTTTGAAAGAGCTTTTGTGATAATGGTTGGCATATTGATATCATAATATCATTATGGTTAAATTGTTAGTAAACAGGAAGCATCGCTAGCTATTCGCTATATGATTATTTGTAAAATAAATAAAAATATATACAACTTTAGCCAAATAATAATAAAAGCAATAATAACAGATAAGGCATAAACTTAACAAATTTGATGTACTGCCTCCTTGAAGTATTGAGCTTCAAGAAGATATAAAATGTATACTTCAACGCAATTGAGGTGTACTGCCTATTTTTTTAATAAGCTTACTACGAGTTTTAAGGTGGCTGCCTACTTTTGAACGTTCGAATTGAGCCCACGATGAGCGCGCGCTCAAAAACCGCTGAAAAATCTACAAGATTTTATTGAAGAACCATACGCGTTTTGAGCTTCAACAGGGCAAAACCCTCAAATTTTGCACGAGACTCTATATTTTTTGATAGCTCATTCAAAAAAACTCCTAAAAATCTAGGTTATATCAACATTTTAGGAAAAGTTTAAATCAGGAACACGTGAAAAAATAGATTTTTGTAGGGATTTTTCTTCGACTTTATGAGATTTTTTAAGAGCACCGAAACTACAAAATATGACAAATCAATGTATCTCTCTGTCTTTTTGTCGAAAATATCCATGTATTATTGTAGAATGATTGACTAGCCTTCATTCATGCAATCATATAGTCTGTGACGCAGGCTAATAGTCTGCAAATAACTATTATCTTATTCATATTAATTTTTTTCTAATCACTTCCGGTGGCGCAATTTTTACTCCAAAAGCTCGTGCGTAGGCTTCCATCAAATGCTGATTATCTTAAAAACGAGCTCGGGACACCCTATTTTTTTTCCCAGATTTGGAATCAGCATTAAATTTCAATTCGGAAAATCGAAGTTTTAAAGAAAGCTTAAATCAATTTCCTAAAGTAGGCAGTCACCTTAAAACGATATTATAAAAACATATTATACTTCTGTGAATAGCTTATTTAAGAACTCTTAATACAGCATTATATGTATTACTTGCACTTTCAATTTACCTTGCAGTGTTTTAGAGCCTCTTTGTACTCTTTATTTCGTATTGAATCACGAGCATTTTTTAGCAAACTTTTGACTTCTTTGGAAGCCATTTTGAATAATTTGCAATTGGTGATACATTATACCATCAGGTACCAGAAGTGACGCAGGCGCGGCGCTGCGTAAAATTAAATTTAACAAATTTACGATGGTTGAGCGTGGTATGTCCTCTTATTTAACACGATATGACGTCAAAAGTTGGTCAAAATGTTATGGACTCACGAGGCGTAAGCCGAGTGGGTCCATAACTAATTTTGACCAACGTTTGGCGTCATATCGTGGTAAATAAGAGGACATACCACGCTCAACCATCGTAAATTTGTTTTTTACTACAAAACTCACAAAACTCTAGGAAATAGACCACGAAATCTTGCATGACGCCATTTGTTGGTATGGCCTCTTATTTACGACGTTTTTTAACCAATCAGCGCGCGAGAAAATTTACAATTGTGGTAAAAAATTAGATTACTGGACTCTGGACTGCGGATTCAGGAGCAATATTTCCGTGATCACATTGGAATTCAAAAATCAATCTTTACGAACAGAAACCTCTCCCCTCTATTAGACACACGCACACAAACACCAAAATTCGCCATCTATGAAATTGTATGACCATTCTAGCAAGCCAAAATTTTGGAACTGCACCCAGCTTTGACCTCCCCTACTTGCGTTTGTGCGTCGTTGTGCTCATTTGTGTGCTGGTACAGGATTAGTGGATAAACCGCACGTAAGTCGAGTTGTATCTTTTTTTTTTTTTTTTTCTTTTTCTAATTTCTAATGATTTAGTTATTGCATTTTCATTTACATTTTCGTAAGGGAAGGGGAGGGGAAATAAAAATAGAAATAAAAGCTATTGACAATGCTTTACAAAGAAGTATTAGAAAGAACTAAACCTTCGTAAAAAAAAAAAAAAATCCAATGAAATATAAAAAGAACCGTTATTTATTTAATTAATTGAATTGATGCTTCGCTATCTAATTGCATATTTTTGTGATTGACAGACAAAAAGGCGTGATAAACGAAGATTGGATGAGAAATCTTAATTAACAGTTTTTTCCATGGCCACGTGCATTCAAATAAGGTTAACCAATAAATACAGAGGAAGTTTCGATGATAAAATAACATTGGACAAGACTCTTTGAATGACAGCTGAATAAACGCGAAAATTAGAATGATCCTATAGAGTAAAATGTGTGACATTACACGTGTAGTGATATTAGCCAATCACATTACATATTCTCTTGAAAATAATTTAACCTTATTGGTTGGTACTGTTTGATTGACAGCTGATTCACGTGGGAATGTAGAATATATAGTTTTCTGGTTTGTGGGTTCGACTTCATAATCCCCGCCGTTTGAAGTGAAGAAAGTCAGTTTTTTTTTTGTTTTTTACACGTGAAGAAAGTCAGGTATGTACCAAAATCTTCCTCTAAAAATTATCTTAAAGTTACAATTTTTTTCTTTTTCTAATTTTGGCCTTTAAAATGCGTAGGACCTTCGTGGCACAATATAAAATGCTATTTTTCTAGTCGTTTTTCTGACGTAAAGCCACTTTTTCTCTTCACAAAAGACATGCCGAGTTGACTCATGCTGATAGTCACTGTAAAGTGAAAATACAAATTTATATAATATTTGGAAACTTTCTTGGGTCTCGAATAGAAAAAACTTGCTTAAGTTGAGCAATTCCTGTTGCTTTTTTAATGTTTAAAGTATAAATTTTCATTGTTTTTTTGCTTTCGAAGAAATTTTTCATTTACTGTGTCGAAGTTAGTGCAAAGCGACCACGAGTCAAAAGACCACAAATTTTCTTGCTTTGTACAAACTTTTCTTCAAGTAAATTTGCATTCTATTTTACTTTAATCTGGATATCATTACTTTTAAAGTTTATTTTATTTGTTTTTTATACTTTTGATACGACAAAGTTTCAATTTGCAATTTTTTATTTGTTTCGCGCGCTTTTCAATATTTTTACTCTATCAACTTGGATGCTCGTTTAAATACTTGGCTTTTCATCGTTCTTTTAATGAAAAATCATTCATTTTGAGTACCTTTGCTTGAATTTGAAGTTCTAAAAATGTTCTCGAATTTTGATAAAATTTCTGAGGCATGATTTTTATTTTGGCGCGCTTTTCATTTTTACGAAAGTCGTCGATAAAATTCTTACAACTGTAAGTCTTTGTGACTAGACTATTTTCCTATGCGCATGCTTTTGTTTGTCATTATTCCTTATGCTAAGAAAAGTTTATTTTTTGTTTACCAAATACTGAGATTTTTTTACATTTTTCAGATCATTATTTATTATTGGAAGTGGTTATATAAAGTATCTAGAAGCAAGAAGAAGACTACTGTGTATCGTAAGACAGAGTTGATGGTAAAAGATTTTGAACAAGTCCAACGAAAATGAAATTGCTTTTTAATCATTTTGGTTTGGCTGGCTATAACTTGTTCTTGATCTTCCTGTGTTGCATTGTAGTTAGATAGAAAGAGGTTGGGGAGAGGCAGTTCCTAAATCGAAAAGGAACTTGTTCGTGACACTGAACTCACTCGGCGTAGGTCTTTGACTTGCAAACATATGTGAGAAATATTTCTTCAAATTTACGTGAAATTCGGCTCGTATGTTGCAAGTCAATTAAGCTGTATATTTTTTATCGATCTAGAAAGTTTTTTAGGCTAGCATTAATTAAGGGGGATCCAGATGTAACGCTGGTCCCAGGGATTATTTGTTTGACAAGAAGCTACCACTATCTTAAACTGACTAGGTGGGTAATGGCGGATTATTAGTGTTTTTGACTGGTCATCTCGACCAGGGTCAATTGGCCAACACTAGGTTAGTTTTTCAAATGAATTTACGTCACCAAGTACGCCGGCAACGCTTCACGTCGATGAAAACAAAGGATCTACAAATAAGGTGTGAACTTTAGTTAACTGGAGTTCAGGCTTACTTGAGTAACGCTGGCTGGTACAGATCACTCACTCCCCTCACACAGCGCCTAAGGTTAGATACTTGAGATTAGACTGGCCAGTTGCGTACTCTCGTAAGACTGGGTACAGTCAGGATGATCCGACAGATTAATGTCCTCGTTCCTCCCCTCGGATGATGGTTGTGATGAACTCCTGACTTGCTGCTCCAATGTAGTATTGCTTTCCAGTCGTGGTTCAAGTCTACCAAGAACAGCCAAACTCGGCTGCCTCTAAAAGAGGGAAGACCGGCGAGTCTCTAATTGGATGTTTTATCATGCACCGGGAATGCCAGTAGTAGCTTCTTTAGGGGTAGATTTTTTTTCACATGACTATATAATATATATAATATTTATGATTGTTTTTATGCATGTTTGTTTTTGTGTATGTTTCTTGTTTCTTCCACAGAGCGATTAGGTTAATTTAGTTTGATGCTCTCTTTCTTGTTTGAAGACATATATGTTTTCACTTTGATAGCATCTTAAGATCATCATAATTTTTTCATTACTGTTCGATCATTTCGATACTTCGATACTTTCGAATCGTTTTCGACGACATCTTTAATTTTCGTTTTGTATATTTTCTATCAGTGTTATTTATTTACTTATTTATTTCTATTTTATCACATATGTAATATAATAGGTCAGTAAATGACGAGAGATAGATTCGAGGGTGTTGGATACTGGATATTCCAGCTCTCTCTGAAGTAATCAGTATACTTCCTTGAGAATCCTGGAATATCCCCTCTTTTATAAGTTTATTCTCATTCGGTAGCATAAATTAATATAATAAGTTCGATGGTTTTGGTCTTGGATATTCCAGCTCTCTCTGAAGTATTCAGAACTTCCTAGTTGAGAATCCTGGAATATCCCCTCTTTTATAAAAGGTTTACTCTCATTCGGTAGCATGATGTAATAATAGATTCGAGGGTGTGGGTCTTGGATATTCCAGCTCTCTATGAAGTATTCAGAACTTCCTTGAGAATCCTGGAATATCCTCCCTTTTCACGTACCACACACACACACACACACACACAACCACGACGATCATAATTTTTTAAGAATGGGCGGGGCCTTGAATATTTCTTTCTTCAGGAATATTCATCCCTACTAGCCACTAAGCTTAAGATTTAAATGCATAAAGCTATATCTTTATGCCTTTGCGTCTTGTTTTTATCTTTGTTGTGTTTAGAAAGAAAACAAGCACAGTTTTCAGACCATTAAGATTCAAAAGCATAAACTTAATTATACTTATGTTTCTTAACCTTGTTTGAAAGCATTTTTTGAAATTTCAAATGCTAACATCGCTTTCTTTCTCTCGTTTCAGATGAAAATATCAATGAGGTGTACCTCATGGCTTCTCGAATATTCTTCTATTCAATTTTAAAATTTAAATTTTGCATTTTATCATTATTTAAAAGATGACTGAATTTATGCTATTTAGGCCCCGTCCACACGTATCCGGAAATTTTTGTATCCGCAAATTATTTTTTTGCGGATACAGGTTGCGTCCACACGTGTCCGCAAATTTTTGTGTCCGTATCGGCAAATTTTACGAAAACGGATAAGTGTGGACGGTGAAAACGATTAGAATACGCTGCGTGTGGACGCAAACATTTTCGTATCCGCAAAAAATAATTTGCGGATACAAATATTTCCGGATACGTGTGGACGGGGCCTTAGTTTTAATCATTGATTTTTATATTTCTTCGTTTGTATAATATAAAATACGTCAGCATGCAAGGTACTAATTTTTTTTCTTTTTCCACTTTCAGATCATTCCATATAATGCAATTTAATTCGATTTGATAATACAATGCACACGCACTTGCAGTTTCAGTTATGTACACCTTTAACCCTCCAAGGTTCGTGCGCATGCATAAGGTGGAGGACTACGTTTCCAGGGAGATTTTTCGGCCATTGTCTAATCTCTGGTTTTTCGTAGCTGGCAGCGCACCAAGAACGTTTTACACGGATAAAGTGTTTTTAATGGATAAAGTTTTAAAAAGGAATATGATTGGCTTTTTTCACTTGCTATATTTGACTTGTTTTCTCTGGCACACTAAAGTTAATAAATAAAATTCTATCACCCCGCATTATTTGCGCCTTGTTCTAATGGTATAGAACTTCGAGCTTTTTTGGATTGCAACAAGAATGTTTGACGATTTCAAAGATGCTTTGACGTCTTCGACGATACCACACCTAGTTTTAAGGACGATGTTGGAATATAAGAATAATTTTGATTAATTCGCGCACATTGGTATTTTTATATTTTTATTTTACAGCGTCCAATGAATTAGGTATGGCCAAATTTGGGTTTTTTAACGAATCAGCATTGACTATTTTGGTTTTTCAACAAACTCGTCGACTATTGTTTGGTTTAACATCTCACACGCGTCGGCTGTTTCTGGTTCTTCAACTTCAAACGCGTTAAGTTTTTCTTTGGTTTTTCAACAAACGCATCGACTGTTTTAGGGGTTTTTCAACAAACGCATCGAAAGTTTTTGGTTTTTCACCAAGATCAGTTTTCAACGTCTTCCAAGGTTCCGTAGTTTCCTTACATAGAAGATGATAGATCGACTGTATTGGGGTTTTCAACGAAAGCGACGAAAGTTTTTGGTTTTTCAACAAACTCGTTTTAGTTTTTCTTTGGTTTTTCAACAAACGTATATGGACTGTTTTTTGGTTTTTCAACAAACGCATCGAAAGTTTTTGGTTTTTCAACAAATTGTTTTCACCTCTTCCAAGATCCCGTAGTTTCCTTACATAGAAGGTGCTTCTTGCAGACTCCATTCCAAGTGGCGTTCACAGATGCTTTTAGATGCGTCCCAAGAAGCAACGAGAGGCCAGTTTTGAAAGTGCTGATGGTTTATAAAGATATATGGCTTGATACTACTTTATTTTTCGATATGTGCCAGAGTTTTTGAAATGTTTCAACTGCTTATAAAACAAAATACATAGTCTCGATTGGCTTTGTGTTTTGGCCTTCCTGTCTCTAAAACCCACCCCAAACTCAGTAGTGTAACAGAGCACGCTTGTCTTACGAGCCGAGAGGACTGGGTGCGACTCCCAGTTGAGTTGGTGGCGAAAATGAATCGGGTTTCCATATTAATGCGTTAAGAAGCTTAACTTGTGACATTTGCATTTGATATATTCTTTATTTCATACACATCTATTTCAAAAACGTTGTTGGTTGCTGAGATCGGAAATGTTTCTTTAAATAGGTCTCAGGCTAACCACTCTAATAAATGAAGGAAATACTCTAATAAAGGAAAGGAAACACTAAATGGCGTCTTGTCTTTGTATATTGTATAGTAGAAAAACAAAATTGTTACCAAGGAGGGTAGGGGAGATGACAAAAAATCGATAGCGCGCGCGCATAAAAAGACAGACAAGACACCATTTAGTGTTTCCTTTCCTTTATTAGAGTATTTCCTTCATTTATTAGAGTGGTTAGCCTGTGAATAGGTGTATGCATATATACTACTTTTGGGCTTCCTATGTCTCTGTCTCTGGGTGATCGTGATTACGGAAATAAAATATTGCCAATAAAGTTAATCTCTTATTAATAATGACCTTGAACTCACGTTTAATTGCGTGTATTTTGATCGAATTAAGTTACTTTTCTTTATCACTGCGTGTTTTCAAAATTACAAAGCCCTTATACAATTTCACCGTTTCTGAGAATCATCATCAGTAAATGTACTTACTTTTGTCTGGAATTTACCAAAATGGCGATAACAAAGGTATTTTAAATAATTTTGCTCGCTAAGCTAACGTTTTTTACTTATATAAAGCTAATCAAAATCTCAGTAAAATTAATTTTATAATTACTGACCTTGATTCCTCGTGTGGATGATAGCAAGAAGCTCAGTCGATTTAATTATAATGCATAATGGCCTGTCGTGTGGAACAAACTGAATGTTAAGTATAGTCAAAAGAAAACAATGTATCATTAATATAATGGAATTAGTGTCTAATAATGGAATTAGTGCTTGGTAATTGAAACCCTTTAGTCTAAAGTTAGTGATGTATTTAGTGTTATTATCACGTTTTTAGATTTGCCTTCCAATGACCTTCTTGATCTCGACCAGTCTCCTTTTTCATACTGTCAAGCCAGAAAGTAAGCAAAGAATTGCCAGTTTATTATATCTAAACGTTTTAGAATTCCAATTAATAATGAATGTTTTCACAGTTCTTCTCTTTCCTAAATTTTCCTTCTCTTGTCCTTGTCTTTGCGTGTTTCCTTCTCCTCCCGGCCACTTCTCTTCCTCTTTCCTTCTTCTCCGTGTCCATTTTCTTTTCCCTCTCTTCCTTCTTCTTTTCCTTCTTCTTCTACTCTTTTGATTGAATCCTAGCGAATATCTATTTCCAGGAAACTGTATTTATCCAGGCATTCCATTAACTGGTCCCTTGATGTTTAAAGCTGAACCAACAATATACCAAATATTACAAGTCAAGCACGATACATTCATAAAATTCAGCTGTAAATCGAACTACATCCTTAGAGGACACAAGCTTATTCGTTGCGAAGATGGCCGATGGACTGGAAGAGTACCGTATTGCAAAGGCATTTATTTTCACTTGTATCCACATTACTATTTTTATTTATTTATTTATTTATTTTTTTCATTTATTTTATTTATTTATTTATTTATTTATTTTTATTTATTTATTTATTTATTTATTTTATTATTTAAATTTTGGTACATTTTTAAAACTAAATTTCCTAATTCAAATGCTTTTTATTTCATGATCAGATGCTGTGGAAAATATTTTTCAACGCTTCATGAACTTCTTATTATACTCTCTCTTCAAGCATCTCGTGTTCGAGCAAAAAGGTAAACTAATGAATACTCGAATGTTTTATTTTACAAACTTTTCTAGCTTGGGTCGTAATTTTTCCTTGTTTCATTTCCTTGAGTATCATCCCTTTGTTTATCACGAAACTGCGGGATACAAACGAACCACCGTGAAGGAAAGTTGCTGAAAAGCAATAAATGCCAAGAGAATGACACGCATTCTGGAATGGTCCCAGTTTTGTTGCTTTAATTATAGCCGTAACAGAAAAAAAATTGTTATTTAAAGAAATTCTTTGCAACGATCCTGGAGAGATTCCCTTCGGGAAGAAGAACAAGAAGCAAGAGTTGTACAGAAAAGATGCTACAGTAAGCTACATGTGTGACAAAGGTTATGTGATGAGAGAAGCAACAAGTACTTTAAGATGCACGGAGAATGGAACGTGGAATAGACATCCTCCTAAATGTATAAGTAAGCTATATATAAAATATTTTAGTTGCTCTGTTTGCGTATTCCATCAGTCCTTCCATTCATTCGTCCATTCTTCCATCAATCCATCTCTATTTCTTCCTATATATCAATATATCCCTGCTTGTTTCCTCCCTCCCTTGCCTGCTTGCCTGCTTGCCTGCTTGCCTGCTTGCCTGCTTGCCTGCTTGCCTGCTTGAAACTTTCAAATGTAGTGTTTTCTGAAAACATGTTAGATTGCAAATCAAGCCTCGGGATGGAGAGATCAGGACCAACACTGATTCACGATCAGAACATACGAGCATCAACAGAAAAGGGCCATCATCACAAAGCAAATGAAGGAAGACTGAATGGCCCAAGAGCCTGGTGCTCAGGAAGAGAAAGAACTCCATATTTGGAAATCGATTTGGGAAAGCCACACAAAATATTGTTTCTTTCTACTCAAGGAAGTGTCTTTGATGACAAATGGGTTGGCTGGTATGCTGTGAAAAGTAGCCTCAGAGGGTCATTATTCACCACGTACAGAGAAAACAACCAGGAAAAGGTGCCAGTAGAATAAAAGCTCTTTTACTGCTCGAAATACAACTTGTGACACATCATTTTCAGTTTCGTGAGAAATCCCTCTAGAGAAACGTCCAAGAGAATGCATGATCATTACCAGGTTAAATCGTCAGAGCAGTGGCTATACAGAAGGCCGTGTCCTGCGGTGCACCGGACACCGCCCTAACGCCGTAATTACTCCCTATATTTATTAGTCCCTATATTTTTTTCATTCGGGACACCCGCCTAACAAATTCCTGTATCCGTCCATAGCAGAATTTGGAAAACATTATACCTGGATATTTTAGCGAAATAATTTCGTAGTTTCCAACAAGGGCGCTATTATTTTCTATCTGTGAGTTAGCCTTGGCCTGACTTTTTTTCCCCTTTAATTTTCTTCAGATGTTCAAAGGAAACACAGATGCATCCTCGATACTCAAACATGCTTTAAAAAATCCAATTGCTGCAAAGAAAAATCCGATTTTATCCGATGAAGAGAGGAGGCTTTATAAATGACAATGCTTGCATGCGAGTCGAAGTTTATGGATGTGCGTTGTCTAGCAACTACAAGGAAACCATCTCTGGTCATTGAGATTTATTGTCAAATTAATTCTGAATTATATATTACTAATATATATATATATATATTAATCACATCTATGGAAAAAAATCTCGAAGCTGCTTAGCCGTAAGCAGTGCAGTTAACTGTAGTGTCATGCAGTGTAAAAATTTGTAATTTACGCTTTTGATTTGCTAGAAAACAATAAGAATACGAATATAGGAATGGGAATGGGAATGGGAATGGGAATGGGAATGGGAATGGGAATGGGAATG